GGGGGGGGGGGTGGGGCAGGAAAGGAGGGAGATTCTCGGCCCCGCTGTCCCGATGCGTTGTGTACCCCTACACGCCATCTGATCGGACCAAGTGTAGAAACCAAGTGTATCTATGCAATAGAGATGCGGGGCTGCGTGGACCCCTACCCCAACCCTAACCTCCACCACTTCCATACTTAATCCGATGCGTTTGCTAAGTAAGAACCTGGGTAGGCTTGTACCGATCTGATCTCTCCGTCTTGTCCCGATGTTCGAATCCCCTGCCTGGTGTGGATGCATATGTTTCATGTGCGTTCGTACCTCCGGCCCGGGACACTTCGCTTCTCGAACTGGCGCCTGGCCGGCCGCCCCAACAAACGAATCCATCACCGGAAATTCGACCAGCTCAAGTATCAGTTCTACACGTCGCCGGAGGATACCGTGGTCGGGTCAAACGCGGTAAGCAAGTCGAGAGAAGCAGGGGGCGCCAGCAACCGACAACTAAAGTAGAGGGTTTCTGAAGAGTTCCCGTGCATGAAATGATGCAATTTTCCTTGTGTGTGGTGATTGGGCGTTTCGGGGGGCTCGCTTTGCGAGCCGTAGCGTCAGCGAGGGAGACCGTGGGGGCGAGAGGGGGAAACACCGAGTCGGGCGGCGTCAGCGTTGTGGCGTGCTCCTGTTTTGGAACAGTAGGCTGCATGGTGCCAAGGGATTCGGCCGGACCTGTGCCGGTCACCCGGCACTAATCCAGAGTATGGGACAAGTTGTATATTTGAATCTGTTGTCACGCGATTTCACTGTACCGGGTACTAATTCAGAGTATCAGACACGTTGAATATTTAATTTACCGTCACGTGAGTTCACCGGCGTTATTTAGGGCGATTGGCCTTGGTCATTCGGCCTTGTGCAGAGAATATCCGCCACCACTGCTGTAGGGTAGGTTTTTTTCTCTTATGAAACGGCTGCCAAGGGTTAGCGCCGGGGAGGCGTTGCACCACCGAGCGGCGTTCGATATGTCGTTTGCGCGGGACACGTTGTGTCGTCGTGGTTGTAGCCACCATTAATTCCGCTGTTTTTTTTTTATCCGATTCGTGCCAGCGTTGGGCATCTCTTGCCATCTTCCCATCAGCTCATATGCCGGTCCGCCCCTCGAAAAACGTTGTAGGGCGGCTACTTGGGGTGTGTTTTGCGGTAGATATCGCTCAGCATTTGTAGCTTCGGCATCCACGCTTGCAATTTGTTTTCTTCAGACGTTTGCTCTGACCAAAACCCTCGCCTCAAACAGACTTACAGCACACGTCGTTCATCTAACGGAATCGATTCTTGCGGCCAGCAATGCGCACACCCCCGGTGCCGTGCTACTTGTTCCTTTGGCACAAGCACCCCCCCCTCCAGCGCCTCCGTTTCGGTCTCGTTTTCGCCCGCACCAACGGGGCCGCTCTCAATCGCAAACAGCTCATGTGCCAGTGGCTGATGAAGACGGATAACGCCACCGAGTGCGGGGCGCTGTGCGACGTGTTCAGCCACGGGATGCTCCGAGCCCACTTCTCCCCGGACAACCGCATCAAGCGCCTGGAGATAGTCTTCGACGTCATGAGCCTGATGCAGCAGCTGCAGCGGGCGGTAGGCCAGGGGGAGCTGCGGATGGTACCGAACACGGTGAGGAGGGGAGGGGTCGTCCTGCTACTGCTGCTGCCGCTGCGCGTCATGTAGATGGGACGTAAGAACGGTGTTGGTTTTGGCACAGAGCCACAAACCCGAATCGAATCGAATCGAAATGTGCTGTGCTGTGTTTGCTGTTTGCGTTGGCTGGGTGTGTCTGTCTGTCCACCTATCTGTCTGTCTGCCTGCCTGTCTGTCTGTCTTCCTGTCTTCCTGTCTTCCTGTCTGTCCGTCTGTCTGTCTAACCTTTCTCTCTCTCTCTCTCTCTCTCTCTCTCTCTCTCTCTCT